CGCATGCCAGCAACACAACCTTTTGTGGCGTTGTCATGTTTAATCTAAAACAATTCATTAAATGCAACTGTAATTCCCGTGATTTCCAAGCAAATGGGTAAGGGCGAAAGTCTATACAAATATTACAAGGTTTTCGTCTATACAGATTTGAAAGTCGTAAAATGTGCATGATGTCGTGAAAGTAAATATAGATATACTGTAAGGAATACATATTTTTCTGAAACTTTTTCATTTTCATGAAAAATAAATTAGGTTTTTATAAGGAATATTTTGAACCAAACCAAACAAAAAAATGCATTACTGCATGTCCTGCAAAAGGTTCCTGACCACCAAATTTTACTCCGATATTTTGTCTATACAGATTTCACTTGACCACATTGATATGATGTGTATCAGACTTCATTCGGTATGATCTGTCTATACAGATTTCATCAGACTTCATTCGGTATGATCTGTCTATACAGATTTCATCAGACTTCATTCGGTATGATCTGTCTATACAGATTTCACTAGACTTCATTCGGTATGATCTGTCTATACAGATTTCATTCAGTATGATCTGTCTATACAGATTTCATACAGTATGATCTGTCTATACAGATTTCATACAGCATGATCTGTCTATACAGATTTCATCACACTTCATTCGGTATGATCTGTCTATACAGATTTTAAATCAGACTACACTTGACATGATGTGTCTATACCAATTTGACTATATTTCAACCTTTATAATGTGTCTATACAGATTTCACTAGACTTCATTCGGTATGATCTGTCTATACAGATTTCACTAGATTTAATTCAATATGATCTGTCTATACAGATTTCATACAGTATGATCTGTCTATACAGATTTCATCAGACTTCATTCGGTATGATCTGTCTATACAGATTTCACTTGAGCACATTGATATGATGTGTCTATACTAATTTGACTATATTTCATCCTATATAATGTGTCTATACAGATTTCACTAGACTTCATTCGGTATGATCTGTCTATACAGATTTCCACTAGATTTTATCAATATGATCTGTCTATACAGATTTCATACTGTATGATCTGTCTATACACTCACAGATTTCATCAGACTTCATTCGGTATGATCTGTCTATACAGATTTCACTAGATTTCATTCAGTATGATCTGTCTATACAGATTTCATACAGTATGATCTGTCTATACAGATTTCATCAGACTTCATTCGGTATGATCTGTCTATACAGATTTCATTAGACTTCATTCGGTATGATCTGTCTATACAGATTTCATTAGACTTCATTCGGTATGATCTGTCTATACAGATTTCACTAGACTTTATTCAATATGATCTGTCTATACAGATTTCACTAGACTTTATTCAATATGATCTGTCTATACAGATTTCAACAGACTTCATTCGGTATGATCTGTCTATACAGATTTCATCACACTTCATTCGGTATGATCTGTCTATACAGATTTCATACAGTATGATCTGTCTATACAGATTTCAACAGACTTCATTTGGTATGATCTGTCTATACAGATTTCACTAGACTTTATTCAATATGATCTGTCTATACAGATTTCAACAGACTTCATTCGGTATGATCTGTCTATACAGATTTCATCACACTTCATTCGGTATGATCTGTCTATACAGATTTCATACAGTATGATCTGTCTATACAGATTTCAACAGACTTCATTTGGTATGATCTGTCTATACAGATTTCACTAGATTTCATTCATTATGATCTGTCTATACAGATTTCAATCAGTATGATCTGTCTATACAGATTTCACTAGATTTCATTCAGTATGATCTGTCTATACAGATTTCACTAGACTTCATTCGGTATGATCTGTCTATACAGATTTCATCAGACTTCATTCGGTATGATCTGTCTATACAGATTTCATTAGACTTCATTCGGTATGATCTGTCTATACAGATTTCACTAGACTTTATTCAATATGATCTGTCTATACAGATTTCAACAGACTTCATTCGGTATGATCTGTCTATACAGATTTCACTAGACTTCACTGGGTATGATCTGTCTATACAGATTTCATACAGTATGATCTGTCTATACAGATTTGAACAGACTTCATTTGGTATGATCTGTCTATACAGATTTCACCGATTTAATTTGTTATGATCTGTCTATACAGATTTCACCAGATTTGTTATGATCTGTCTATACAGATTTCACTAGACATCATTTGGTATGATCTGTCTATACAGATTTCACTTGACATGATGTGTCTATACCAATTTGACTATTTTTCAACCTTTATAATGTGTCTATACAGATTTCACTATTACTTCATTCTGTATGATCTGTCTATACAGATTTCATTCATTATGATCTGTCTATACAGATTTCACTTGACATGATGTGTCTATACCAATTTGACTATTTTTCAACCTTTATAATGTGTCTATACAGATTTCACTATTACTTCATTCTGTATGATCTGTCTATACAGATTTCATTCATTATGATCTGTCTATACAGATTTCACTAGTATTCATTGGGTATGATCTGTCTATACAGATTTCACCAGATTTAATTCGTTATGATCTGTCTATACAGATTTCACTAGACTTTATTCATTATGATCTGTCTGTACAGATTTCACCAGACTTCATTTTTTTATGATCTGTCTTATTATACAGATTTCACAAGACTTTATTATGATGTGTCTATACAGATCTAACCAGACTTCAATCAGTATGATCTGTCTTTACAGGTTTCAGATTTCACTGGACATGATGTGTCTATACCAATTTGACTTTATTCTATCTGTATGATGTGCCTATTCACATTTTGCTTGACTTTGTTTGGTATGAATCTTAAAATTTACCATTTTCATAAGTAACATCTTTTTTGAATATTTAATTGTGTAACAAAGATATATAAGGTCATCTCCATAAAAGTTCTGGTAGGAGCAAATCATGTTCATCTAAAATTGCAAGAACTTTTCAAAACTACATTGCTACTACAGACCAAGACAATTTTAATTTCTTAGTGTCAACATAAAAGTGGAAATTCCCTCTACACTATTTATAACAGTTGTATATCTTAGTTCACTCCCTGAAAGAGTAAGTCATAGCAGTACCAAACCTTGACCACAGGAAAGAAAAGACAAAACAATTAACAGCTGTAATATAGTTTTATTTTGTACTTCATGGTCTTATAAGTAACTCATGACACTCATTGATACATGTATTGCTAATAGATGCTCACACAGGACATCAATATTATATCAAGCAAAAAGCCAAAAATGGAAATTACATAAAATGATATTAATGAGGAAAAAAAACAATTGTGAAGCAACACCTGGTCTTTCCACAGAAAAGAACATCACCCAAAAAAGTAATTTAACCTTGTACATGGTTATTCATTGGAAAACGATAAGCAAAAACATTTTGTACTTTCATTCAGCCAAACATCTGTTTCTTCTCCCAGTATGTTTGTGTACATACTACATGCCACTTGCCCCTCACCTCTGTGGGTTCGAATCCCGACAGGGACTTTGGATTCTTTCATGTGAGGAAGCTATCAAGCTAGCTAACGGAACGTCGGTGGTCCCACTCAGGTACCCGTTCGTGCCTGAAATAATGCACGGAAGGGCACCTGAGGTCTTCCTCCAACAGTAAAGCTGGAACGTCGCGATATGACCTATACTGTGTCGATGTGACGTAAAAACCCAAAACAAACAAACAAACAAACATACTACATGACAAGTTAACATATTGATGGCTGAAGCAACACTGGTCTAACTTAAAATTTCTTCAAAAATTACTTTTGTACATTTTTAGCCTAAATTGCATGAAATACACAAGTAAATAAAATATTAGAAATAATCGTGAAATTTTATTGTTTTTATTTACCACTTGGAAAATATTAAATACAAAAACTAAGAATGATAGAGGAAAGAGAAATGTAACAAATTACTGTAATTGGAATATGGGGAAAAATATATTAAAAAATGTCACAAAATTTGAGTACTTGTATGGTGGACAAAGCTATAGATACAAGTGCCATGCCATGTTTAATTATAAAGAGCTGCAAAAGCTTTTCTTTGACAACTTAGAGATATCACCTTACTTAATGCAAAAATGTTCTAAAAGTTAATTAGGATTATACTTGAAAACCTGACTTGCAATATTTTTTCAGATTATCAATTTATTGATGCTATAAACATTAAATAAAAACATATAATTCTATGAAAGTATTGGATTTGAATTTGCAACCAAGCACAGACTGATATCAACTGACACACAACTGTGCCAGCTAGTTTATATGGGTATACACTCTTTGCAGCTTGGACAATAAGACCCTTCCAACCATGTTGGCAATTAAGTGTGTGGTTCGATCATCTGGCAAGGGTGCCTGCAGATCTGGTCTACACTGGTCAACATGGCCTGAAACGTTTGTTTCCAGCACTATTAGGGTTCAACCAGTATTTCGTAGAGTTTGTTAAGAAAAAAGTTCAACAAGTCTACAATTAATGCTAATAGAACATTATCATATGTTTGACATCACAGGATTGTAATAAAGTCATTACAAAAAAATTATTATACACTAGTGTAATAAAGATTTGACGTCAATGTCGTTTAAAGTATTGGAAGTGTTGATTAAGTTGGCTTGTTAAAATAGTAAAAGAAAGAATAATTTTCAATGTTTTGACAGGAAAATCTAACATGTGATAAAAGAATATTACATTTGTGACTTTCCAAATTGCATTAATTAAAACTTTTAAAATGCTCGACAGAGCCTCACATTTTATTTTCTTTATTCAACTTATATGATAAATTCAATATGAAAATACAATTATGTCATATCCTCCATGTAAATGCATACTACTACTTGAATGTTACTTATGTGTCTGATAATTTTTGTGCCGTGACACAAACGACTAGACTCTCTTTATCTTAATAGGACGCTTCTGGGTAAAAATGTCACTCCATTCAATCGACCCTTTCTTGTTTGTAGTTTGGTTTTCTTTGAATCACCTGTAAAAAAAATGACAAAACTTTACTTTACTCTGCATTTAAAGCAACATTTATAACATTGTTTCTACCAAAATTGTGATCACTTAAATAAATGCACAAATTTTTAACTTAAATTCGGGCACAAAGTGTTCAATTTTGGTTAAGGCTTTCTTCCCAAGCATGTAGTGCTTTGTTATTTTTAGATTTAATGTACAGTCAAACCTGTAAGTAAAGACCACTCATGGGAATGGCAAAATGTGTTATTGATTTACTTGTCAGTCTTTATCACTTACGGACGTTTTTGGAAGTTTTCATATAGACATATAGGCAAAATTAAAACTGTTCAATAGAATTTCTTTAAACTTGGCATGTAAGATGTTGTTAGAATATGATAACAGAAACATTTTAAGCGAAAAAAAAAATTCTCGTTTTTTAAGTCATCTGCCTTTGAAATGGACTTTTTTGTTAAATTCAAGGGCAGATAATTTACAATGAAGAGAATTAATACATTTTTTTTCTTATTTTTCATCAAGCTTACCTTCATTTTAGTTGATATGCAAAATTTCAAGAAAAAATTTAGAGTGGGTAGTTTTTATTCCCACTTCTTCTGTGCATTTTTTCTTAAAAAATGGCCTGTTTTTTAAGGATTTAAAGTACCTTTATTTTCATTGAAAAAAAGTTAATGGAAACAATGTAAGGAATTGCATATTATTATGTATTGTACTCAAAAATAAAAAGAAAAGCATAAACCAGAAGTAAAAACAAGAATTCATTTGAGTATTTGTATAAGTTATCTGCCCTTGAAATGACCTCAAATAAGTAGAAAAGTCTGACAATTCCCTTGAGACGTTTTAGGAAAGCATTTTCAGGGAAGGTTCTGTTGAAATAATAAATATGTGAAATGCTATTTAGTTTGGTCTTTTAAGTTAAATATGTCTCAAAATTTATTGTCACTGAATAGGGACATCACTGAGGTGGCAGGATGACTGACTAAATTGACTACAAATCTAATAATGTTTCTAAGTTCTGACATTCTGAAGTTGGTCGGTAAGATATAATTCAACCTTTAAGATAAGTTTTCAGAAATGTGCAGAGTTTGTGCTATATGTTGTATGATAATGAAGTTAAGGAAAAATACATACTTAGTTGAATGTTACGCGGCTTTGTTTTGGATTTGTTAAGAAATTGTGTACAATAGTCTTCAAGCCTCGCTGTAATCACTGTCTGGAAAAAACTTGTAAAATTGCACATCGGAGTACCTCTGTGTTGCACTGCTCTACTACGCTTGAATGGAAGAGAAAAATATTGTTTAAACAATTTATTGTGGGTAAAGGGTTTGATGCTACTTCCAACAACAATTTAGTCATATCACGACAGCAGTAAATACTTGCCCTGCTACAAAGTTTACCAGGTATACTAGTAAATATTAACTTGCACTACAGAATTTTAATATTGGTTAATGTCACATATAATAATGCAATACATGGCACCAAAGTAAATATTAAAGGCCAGGAGGTCTTCTGCACAAAAAAGCATTTAGCCATCCCCAACAGTAGAGACTTGTGAATAATTCCATTGTTCAAATTGAATATTATATTAAAGTCATGAAAATGTAGACTTCTTCATGTTTCCAATGTTTTTTTTTTAAAAATATTTCTGACTGTATTGTTATTTAAAAACAATTATTGGAATCCTATCAAGTTATATTCACTGATAGACATGACAATATGTATAATATCAATTTAGTATCAAATCTGAAGAATCCATTTCATATATAAACATGTGTATACATGTACATGTACCTTGTTAGAACCTGAGCTCCTTAATTTCACTGAAGCATTCATACTATCCCTCTGTCCACCTGCAACACATGGGAGATAAATGCTATAATACTTCAATAGTAAGTAAATAACAAATATTTACATTAAAATAAGCAACTTCTCATTTCATAATTATATGAATGATAAAGAGACACTGTTCCATGGGTTTTAAATCGAGCTAAAAATGATTATGTTACTTAAAATATGGAATTTAAAATTGCATACACAACCCTAACCCAAGTCTAGCACTGCTGCAAACATAGACTTGCAAAGGATAAAATTCCTCCAGTTATTCAAATAATCTTAAGTTCGAATACATTTAATATGAATACAAACTTTTAGATTTGTCCTCAGCTATACAGGTGTCAGAGGTTCTAGAGGTATGACCTTGTAGACATGGTGTTGGCTTACTTGATGGGTTTGATCTGCATACATCTCTCTGAAAGCAGTACAAATTTATTTACAGATAATTTAAATTTGCATTCTGTAGGCCTACATATGATTGATAAATACAATTATTCACAATAAAGTAATGAAAATATGTGTGTAATGTAATCTATTATAGCTCATATGATTTATTAACTATATTGCCTTATGTGGCATCAGAAGGTAACACTCTGTAATGTCCCATGCAAACAACTTATATGGCACCAGACAGTATTGAACAAGATATAACAATGGTCGTAGGACAGGGCGGACTGTGAGACAGGGCAAACCATACCAGGACGGACCATATGTTTGGAAAGGGCGGACCATATCTTGGAAAGGGCGGACCATGACTCGAGATGAGGTGGACCATAATTAATTTCAAATTTAATACTGCTATTTCATTTATTTTATTTTTTTATCTTTTAATATCAATGTTATCAAAAACAAAAAAATGTTTAAAAAAATAAATTAATATAATTTTATACTAGTACATGTATACAATGTATATTACTGTGAATACTTAGAGTATTAACATTTACAGTTCCCTTGCAATTATAAGTATAAAATAGGTAGGGTAAGATAGTGGGAATGGATTGAAAAAATCTTATAAGTAAAACATATTTTCGTTCTGCACTGAAGTTAATAAACTTGACAAAATTACTTTAATTGTAATATTTTTTTATATAATACATTCATAACATTTAAGTTTTATAAAGGAAAAATGATTATTTATATTAGTTCATTCCTTACTAACTATAGGACAACCAAGAATAGTTTAAATACAATTCTAACACAACCCGCATTTTTCCCTATTGAACATAGAAGAAACGAAAGTGTGTGTTATCATGCTATAAAATCACTGTTTCATGTTCTATATTTAGACATGTGAAGTAATCATTATAGACGTGACATAACCACTAACAAGAGCTGTCTGTAGGACAGCACGCTCGACTATTCTAAGTGCTTGATAGTAAAAGAGCCTTGATATTGTTAAATTTTTTAAGTTCACAAAAGGGCTAATTTTTTTTTATAAATTCATGTTATAGGCCTTAGAGAGAGTCTAATTATACAGAATTGGCTTGACTATTAGGAAGGTAATGTCACAAGGGTTTTTTATTGAGTATAATAATACTAATTACCTATGAATACATAAATTTGACAGAAAAGGTACAAAGGCTTGTTATTAAGATGTTTTATCAAGTAAATCACTACTTTATTATTATGAATGCATAAAATTGTCCCAAAAAAGGCACAAACCCTTCAGTAGTTATTGCGATAACAGCTTACAAGCAAAACTTTACCATGAATTTCTAAGTTGAAAAAGGGGAGAAAAGTCAGCCTAAATGCAAGATAGAATTATGGATCTTTGTCAGTGACCTACAATTATGACCCTAAATGCATATGTGAAGTTTTAAATAAATATCTTTAATAGTTATTGAGATATGTAAAACTTGCATGTAAACATTAACCAAGAAACTAAGTAGAAAAGGGGATATGAATCAGCCTTAATGCAAGATAGAGTTATGGAACTTGGTCAGTGACATACAATTATGACCCTCCAATTATGACCCTAAGTGCATGTGTAAAGTTTCAAGTAAATATCTTTGAAGACCGTTAACCTTTAACCAAAATTTCTAAGTTTCAAAGGGGCAAATAATTCTGCAAATATTGCAGACAGAGTTATGCAATTTTGCAAACTGATGTACATTGTTACTATAAATAAGTATTTTAAATTTCAATTGATTATCTCAAGCAATAATTGAGATATTTGACTTTACAAAAAACTTTAACCAAAATTTCTAAGTTCCAAAGGGGCATAATTCTGTCAATATGGTAGGCAGAGTTATCCAACTTGTCAATCTGATGTACATTGTTACTATAAATAAGTATTGTAAGTTTCAATTGAATATCTCCAGCAATAATTGAGATATTTGACTTTACAAAAAACTTTAACCAAAATTTCTAAGTTAAAAAGGGGCATTATTCTGTCAATATTGTAGGCAGAGTTATCCAACTTGTCAATCTGATGTACCTTGTTACTATAAATAAGTATTGTAAGTTTCAATTGAATATCTCAAGCAATAATTGAGATATTTGACTTTACAAAAAAACTTTAACCAAAATTTCTAAGTTAAAAAGGGGCATAATTCTGTCAATATTGTAGGCAGAGTTATCCAACTTGGCAATCTGATGTACCTTGTTACTATAAATAAGTATTGTAAGTTTCAATTGAATATCTCAAGTAATAATTGAGATATTTGACTTTACAAAAAACTTTAACCAACGCAGACGCCGACGCGGACGCCGACGCCGGGGCGACTACAATAGCTCTCATATTCTTCGAATAGTCGAGCTAAAAATGTGACGTGCTGACAATAAGTACGGACACAAATCAGGCGCAATTTAGCTAATTATCATGCACGGGCAGCATTTATTTGTTGATGTCGTGTTAGAATCGAAATAATATATCCAAATCGGTGATTTTATTGCTTGATAACATCACTGTTTGTCGTTCGGATGCGCATCATTATATCACTCGGGCTACGCCCTCGTGATATAATTCCCCGCATCCGAACTCCAAACAGTGATGTTATTGAGCAATAAAATCACAGTTTGGGATATATTATTTTTTATTGGTCAATGTATATCAATTTGCTAAACAGACAGCATCTTAAAGTTCATGATGTAAACTAACTTGTCAAAGGAATCAAAATTGAAGGAAGTCAACCACGAGAAAGGAGTCAAAAAAGATAAAATATTTCCACCAAAAAAAAAATAATTCTGGATAGGTGCGCAATTTTGTTTGTAATTCCAGACCGCCTCGTCTTGAGTCAGGGTCCGCCCTGTCCCAAAATATGGTCTGCCCCATCCAAACATACGGTCCACCCTGTCTCACGGTCCGCCCTGTCCGTAATTCATAACAATATAACACAAATCCATTTTTTTCCATTTTTATCTTTTCTATATTTTGATATTAAATGAATAACAAGATTAAACAAATGTTTATGTCAAATCAATCATTCAATGCGACTAACACCTTTGTTTCACTCATTCGCAAAAATCATTAGAGAGGGTAACCCGGTCATGTTGCCCTAAGCCGCTTGATAATTGCAAAGGCCGGTGTAAACAATGTCTTTGACGTCACAAGATCAAGATTCACATTTAAGTTTTAACTGCAAATTGCATATAAGAAACTAAGGTCGTAAGGGAAGTAACTCATACTATCTGAACCCCATCTGCGAATTATGATGAACGATGATTGTCGTGATTATGACAAGTAAGAGATTCAACAATATTATTTTATCACAAAACGTCAAAAGACTGTCTATGCGCAATTGGCGCAAAGATATAAACTGATAAAGATGTTAGCTTTAATCTTGTAAAAAGAAACCTTTTAACATAATAACAAAAATATAACAAAATAACCATACCAAGACTTCTGAAACCCTTTGGTCACATATCCTCGATGATATCTAACACTGTATTCCCTTTCATACTCGTCTAGTTGAAAACATCGGCTGGCGGCCATTTTCCGGATGTTTTTGCTGAAAATCGTTCTGTCAGACGGTTTACGGCAGATAAATTTGTATAGACAAGGGGCATGAAATCTGTATAGACTTTCGCTTTAACGAAGCAAATGTTTTCAACTTCCCCAATTAGACGGTTATCATAAGAACTTTAAATGCGTGATTATAGATTTCCGATGGGTGGCAGAATGCTATAGTATTTAGCCGATCTTTGTAAAGTAGGAAGGCTCCAGATAATCTTTAAATCTGCATTAAATTTGAATTAAAATACATAAAGATGTATATGGAAATTTTAGTTGATAATCATATAAACATAGCCTGTACAGTAAAAACAACTGAATGCTCGGACTTCTACTCATGGCAGGCCATATTTTTTTCATTTTGCCCTATTAAGCCTCGGAGTAATGGTATCTGATAATACTGTTTTATTACATGCTTTTTGATAGTTTATATAAATATATCAGTGAATTAAAACTGATAATTCACTGTTTGAAACAGTGAAATTATCAATTTGATAATTTCACTGTTTTGAATTTTAGCCCCTTACGTTGTTTCAATGAAATACCAGCGTACACAGAACTGGAAACCAACTTAATAACGTGACGTCGTAAATAACGTCACGTTGTATAATTATTTGGCGCGCTATTCATTTATTCTTAGGTAAAAATGTCCTTTTAAACGTTTGATTGCATGTAATAAATTTGTTTAGTTTAGTGTAATATTGAAATATATTTCACCTCGTGAACACCAAAAGTTCACATTTCACTCGTGGCTGCGCCACTCGTGAAATATACCTTTTGGTGCTCACTCGGTGAAATATATTCCGATCTTACACTGAACTTAACAAATATCCTCTATATAATTGACGTAGAACATTGAAATGTACTCCACACAATATGTTATATGGCAACATGTCATAAGCGTTCACTTTGAACAGAGTATTTATTTTTGAGTCTAAATGTGGTGAAAGCTTGGAACTTATTTGAACCACTTCCGTTTCCTTGAACTGACCAGAAATGATACATAAGTAAAAAAAGGAATATTCACGAAACCTTTTTTATACAGAGAGCAACAACCCGTGCACCTTAATTTCGGCGGCGAGCATATTAATAAAAAATGTTAATTTAAAAATTCTTGTGGCATCTCGTAAAAGCCATAAAAACATTGATCAACCACAATTTTAAAGAAATACGAAGACTGTTAAATTGTACAACAGAATTCGACTGCCTGTCGTTGAATAAAGAGTTTTATCAAAGCCGATTAATTGACTATATAGTACCTTTATTGCCAAATTGTCATATCAAGTCAATAAAGTGCTGAAATATATTTGTACTTTTGAAAATCACCTTTACATGCCATACAAGAAAAAAAAAAGATTTTGTTATAACGATTCATAAACACATATATAACCTGCATGGGTGTCAGTTTTTATCATGTTTACTGCATGCGTAAATATTATGCCTTCAAAATAAATCCTGCAAAAGTATCCTGCGGAAAAACAAAATTTGCATTAGAAGGGGCATAACTCTGTCAATGAAAAGTTGATTGCTGCGAAACTTAACCTGTGTTATGATATATATTTAAAATTACATACTAATTTTTTACCCCCTTTTCATTAAAATTCGGGCAAAAGTTTTTTCCCGGGGAAAACCAAATTTAAATCAAAGGACAAAACCGGAGGGATAAAATTTTTTTGTTTTCTGTAAAAAAATTACCAGAATTTTTCTTTGGCTTTTGTAACAGAAAAAAAATTTAAAATTTGCTTTGTTTCCCACCAAAAATTGAAGAAAAATCAAACTTTGGAAAATTTGAAAATTAAAGAGTTTAAAAAAAAAAAAGTAAAAGTTTTTCAAATTATAGTAAAAAGGAGGGTTTTGGGCATTTCAGCCCTAAATTTTTCCAATATTTACCCAAAATTTCTTTTTGAAAGATAACGCTGTAAGAACAAATAATTTGCTTTTTTTGCCCTTTTTTTGGTTTTTTAGTTGAATAAAAGGTGTTTTTCCCAATTGTAAAAATTTTTATTTTTCACTTAAAAAATTTAAAAACCCCCATTTAAAATTGGGGGCGGGGGAGGGGTTTTTTTAAGGGGTTTGAGTCCTCGGGAATTGAAACCCACCTTTTTAAAAACCCTAGGGTGATCGTAAGGGCGACTAAATAGTTTTTCCGATTTTTTTTAAGTCTACACATTTTTTAGCTCCCAAGGTAGGTTTTTTTTTAAACCCCGGGGTGTTGCTTTAAAGCTTTTTTTTAAACCCTAAGGGTTTAAAGCCAAACATCTTCCTGTTTTCGGGCACATAATTGACCTAAATCGTGTGGGATGCGCCGTAAACAAAACCAAAACCCAGAAAAAAACTTTCCCATTTTTTTCATTGTTGAAAAATTTTTCATTAAAACTTTACAAAATGAATTGGGGGTTCATTTGCTGCTTTTGATATGATAGTAGAAATAATGCCTCCAAATTTTCAACAAAATCACCACATAGTAACAACTCTTGATTATATTAATAACAATTAAAACTTTAGAGGATAATTAGTATAATGCCTTTGAATGTCGTAAAATTTTTACTCAAGGGATGCCATTTTATGAATCATAAAGACCCTAAACATTAAGCAAACAGAAATCAAGAGTTATGGGGCTGTAGTTTTGTTAACGGCTTTGGGTTTTTGATGTGTTTCATCGAGTAGCAACTACTTCGGCCTTTCCGTTAAACCTCACGAATATTCCGACAGGTGATTCATATTTGATTTAGCCGAAATATAGCCATACGAGTTCAAACCTAACGTTTACATCCTTTTAAATTGCATTGTAATTTTTGAATAAGGGAGAACAATCAAACACTAGAAAACTAATAATTCTTCGTAGTTACATTCCTTACTCTGTTTAATTATTCAAACAATATGCTACATTATTTACTGGAATTATAAAGAGAATTTCAGTGCCTCAAAGATATTAACAATTTAGAAAAAAACACACACACAAATGAATGGGAATGTGTAACAAGACGGCCATGATGGCCTGAGATACACTGCTCGAAAAGGTCAAAAAGATAGTAGAAGATAGGAAGATGTACAAGATAGTAATTATAGGACATAACGGATTGTCATTTTTGGTTTCCAAGCCTGCATTTTTCTCAAAATATAGTCAATAGATGTCCGCAAGGCAATATTGTAATGCCAATTCAAAAGCTTGTAAAACATTGAAAGACTTGAAATGATAAGTGTCTTTTTTATAATTGTCTTTACATAAACTAAGGACTAAGGGAATTTAATTTTAGTATAACTTTTGTAGGAAACAAATGATACTGCATACCAAAAACACGTTTATGCTTTATATTATTAAAGAATTCGTGAAAAAAGAATTTTAAAAGACAGTTTTTATCCTATAAGTCTTTCAAATTATTTGAAACACCAAGAGGCGGGACCTTTTTTTTGACTCAAAAAGCCATAACATATATACAATTTTAAATAAGACCATTTCACTAGAACAATTGTTACATGCTCGTAAGCATTGCAGTTGCATCGGAAAGAAAGAGAAAATGATTTTTCCCTCTATTTAAGTCTATTTAAACTAAGTGACTCCCAGTGAAGGAAAATTTTGACCCAGGGGGCATGGTTAACAAAACCATGAAATTTGATAGCATTCATAGAGTTGCAGTCAATAAAGACCGTCACCCGAATTGTTCTTGAATGTTTTTTGGACAGGGATGTTCAGAGAAATCTATAAAGCTATAAGTTTTAAGACAAAGAAGTCCATTCAGCTCAAACCAATAAAAAAGTACACTTAAGATATTTCAAGAAATCACCATTTAGCTAAAAATTTTATTCGGTATTGAAATAAGCGGCAAACGGCATTAATGATATCAAAATTATAATTGGGTTTTTGAATTATCAAAATATCTATGCTTTCTTCAGAACTGAATTCATATGTTAAATTTATGTTTGTGCACTTGCAGTATACAACTCTTTTGAAAGAATATCGTATGTGGTTTTGTTGGGCAGAAATGCTAGACGCAAATGCTATATAAAGCAGACATAACGTCTCTGAGAATAAATGGCATGACTTTTATAAATTGCCATAGTGCTGATAACACAGGGTATTATTTCTTTATTTTGACTATATTCAGACAATATTTTAAATTACATTGTTGGTATTTTGCCCCATGGGCTACATATTTAGACTTCATTAACACTTTTGGTATAAATGATATGACACATTTATACTTTTTTTGTTCATATATATTTCAACATTAAATGTCTTGCAATTCCCCACTTTGGAGCTCATTCAATCAAGTAAATGTCTGCAGCTAACTCCGTGCCATTTGAATAATTAGATTGAGAAATTTGGAGAGGCAAAAATGTGTTATTTTGTGTGGTATTTAGTCATTATTTGACATTTTCCTGACAATTATTCATACAACACTTAAATAATTGCTGCTCTCGTTATATATTTCATGAATCTTTCACGAAACCTTTAATAGTTTTAAAAAGTGTTAACAGTATTGGACGAAATCAACTTAAATATTGATACTTTGGAAAACAGTCACAAAAATCTAATATCGTAAAAAACGATTCTCCTAAAATTCTAAAGTTATAGATGAATTGAAAATATTGGAACATTCGTTTACAATTATGAATTTGGCATTTGTAATGGTACACGTTCTTCTCATTTGTAAAAATTGTAATGGAATGTATGAATATTTAAATCACACGACATATTATTATGGAACAGAAGGAACGCCAGTTTCAACAGGGATTACGAATGAAACAACAGTTACTGCTGATTATAATTCATCATATTTTAATCAGGTCATAGAACTAACTCCATATGAAATAGAGCAATACTTAAATCAGGATATGACGAAACAGTTTTTGTCACAATTTCCACACAAATACCAGCGGGACATTCTGAGACATTAACTAAAAACGTCTTTTATAAAGTTGTGGGGTTTTTTCATTGAAGGAAAAAAATTTTGGCCCCGTTTTTGCTTGGAATGCAGTTGTCATTTTATCAAAATTTTTGGGAAATTAAAAATGTTGTCCTGATAGTTCTTTTTTAATATTTAATGAATAAAACCTTTTCCTCAAACATTCAGGATTTTTTTTAAATTTTTCACCAAAAGGGAAAATTTAGAAAAAAGGTTTGGGTTTTCCAAACTGCATTTTTTCAAAAAACAACTATTTTATAACTCTTTGGGGGTTTTTGGTTTCCCTTTTTCTTGCCATTTTGGAAGGGAAAAAAAGGAAATTTAAAAATAAAATGCTCAAAAAAGTATTAATAATGGGGCACATTTTTGAATTAAAAGGGACACTTTTCCCTTTGTCTTTCCACAAAAAAAATAAACGGGAAACCGGGAACAAGTTTTGGGGCATTCTTTTTATAATGTATCGGTTGATTATTCAAAAATTAAAAAGAGTTTTTATCTCAGAAAATTCGTATATACAATTTGTTAAAGAAATTTTAACACGGCTATTTAAATGACATTTGGCTTGTAATGAAAACATTTGCTGTTGAATCTTTCAAAAATTAAATTTTTTTTCCAGAAAAGGCACGACGAAATAAAACGGGAAACATTCGAAGAACTGATGTTCTAATCTATAAATCACCGTTTTGTTAATGAAACCCTTCCAAAATTTTATTTTGGGAAAGTTTTTGGAAAATAGAATTTTGAATTTTTTCGTTAACATTTGGTATGGCTTGTATCCGAAAGGTTCAGCGGATTTATGCATTTTCTGGTCTGATGAATGTTAAGCCCGCCTAATCAAGACACAGTAGAGTGCGGAGAATTATCAACTTTATGACAGCTTATCGGTGAGTAAATTTTTTATCAAAATCATAAAGAAGGTCTTGCTGAAATAAGATTGCAAAGTTCTCAAATTCTTAGCTCATGGCAATTTTTACTGGGAAGTCAATATGTTTTGGCTTTGGCATCTTCTTATGCATGAAGTAACTAATTTAACTAATGATGGAAATGTGTTTCCGGTCGTAATAATTCAGTCATGTTGAATACCCTGACCGTTTCCCATGGTTTTTAGGATCAATTGTTATATAACATCATAAGGACTAACAAGTAAATATTTCTTTATGACTTTCATTTAACAAAGCATAAATAAATAAATATATAAAAATGGTTTTTATAAAAATTGACTGTGCTGTGTTATGCGATTTGAAAGATGTTCAACAATGTTCATTATAAACATATATAGGAAGATTGTGGACGAAGTGTCTCCCATTTTATTATTATACATGGTTCATTGAATACCTATTATAGACATATATGAGTGAAATGTTTCACAATACGTTTGAATAACTACCAGATTGTATTAGGTAAATTTGGTTGATATTTAAATACATTTGTTTTTGTAAATATTTTATCAAACATCCTTCCAGAAAAGTTTTATCAGCTGATTAAATGCCCATTAATTATACCCCAGAAATGCATTTTTCAAAGCTTTTTTTTATTCCTTTGTGTCCGGTTATCTTTTCCAAAAAGTTACTCATTGGCCAATTACCAGAGCTACCTTTTTCTTCTGTTGCTTTTTGGCAATGAGTACAGAACTGATTTAGTGATTTAGTATTTTATAAAGAAGCCAAAATGCTACTTTGTTTACATTTTGCTACTTTTATGACCAATATTTTCACTTTCAGCACTACCTTCTTCTATTGATATGCATCTTACATGCTCTTAAACCAAAAGCTAAACGTTATAAAACTCATATTTATCCTTTTTACAAAAGGAAACAGTTATTCGTTTCAGAGGCATGATGTGCCTTTAAATATAATACTTGGTTTTTTCTTTATTCAAGACGTTTTACTTCAGACAATGATTCGCTTTTAATTATTTACAATCGATACTTTGAAAATTAAAGTTGTATAAAATTCCCATTTCAAATATTAAGTATTATCATACCCATATAAAAAAGAGGTAATTTTATTTTATTTTTGCAGGGTGTCTGCAAAAACATATGGTGTTCAAGTATAACTGTGCTAGAAAATGGTAAATGTGTGGACCATGTCGGGAAACTGAGAAACGTGTCCTACATAGCATTTATAAAAATGAAACCAATCAATTCCCTGAAGATTTTGGGACGGCTTTGTGTCTGGATCGGATTTTTTATTTTCATGGCGTGGTTTTTTCAAAGATGGTAATTTGTGCGTTTTTTCCCAAGCAGTAAAAAAAAATGTAATTTTTAGTAAAAACCTGTTTCCCAAGTGTGTTTAAATTTTGGGTGCAACGGGTTCAATCCCATGTTACTGAAAAGTCACGACCCGAATATTGTTGTAAAGGAACTGTTTTCGCTGCATAACTCGATGCACTCATTTCTAATGAATGATACAAACCAACTTTTAACACTTAAGTTTCAACTTGATGATAGTATTGACGATGTTGCCCGACTAACTGAATCATTCAACGCTTCATATTCTTTACAAGCTTTGTCAGGAAATACGCAACAGATGATGACTTACAGCCATGAATTTCCTTGCCATTATCATGGGTTTGATTTATATGTTCTTGAGTTAACAACATGTCCAAAAGTTACTGTATCCAAAAAAGATGTTCCATGGAAGAAATTTGAAGACGAAATCATTTTTGTTGATGGTAATTTTAGGCTTACTCGGTTTGAATACTACTTCCTTGACATGGGTCACATAATGATTTGCACAGACAGTTACAAAGAGTATTTGTCCGTTACTTCAAAGTCAAAAAAGGGAAGTCATTTGTCAGCGGAATTAATTACATCAATATCTGTTATTACATTATCCATCATAGCTCTTTGTGTTACATTATTTCTTTACTGTTTCCTTTCCAACCTTAGACAATCGGTTCCTGGTAAAAATAACGTGTCACTTGTAACAGTATTGCTATGTGCTCAGTGTCTGTATTTGATAAGTAGTTTCTCTGAGTTAGATGAATATTCTACCATTTGCTTTGTGCTTGGTTTATTTGTTCATTTCTCCTGGCTTGTTGCTTTGTTTTGGATGAATATTTGCACATACCACATGTTCCGTGTTCTTGCAAAAACAAGGGTGATAACAAGTTCATCGGGAATGAAACGATTGATATTATATCATGCGTACGCTTTTTTAATGGCTGCAGTATTCGTTTCTATGAATATTGTCCTATCTTATATCTCAAACGGTGACTATGGATATGGTGGTAAAGCTTGCTATATCACTTCACAAAGAATGTTAATATTGACGTTTGGTATTCCGGCTACATTGATTGTACTTTCCAATCTTATCATGTTCACAGTTGTGGTGATCAAGATCAAACGATCTCCATCAGTCCAAAAGAATGTAAAAAACGAACGTAACGATATTGTCATCTTCGCAAAGTTATCAACTATCACCGGAGCGACCTGGATATTTGGACTGCTGTATATGTTTACCAAATCTATTGTATTATCATATATTTTCATTTTTCTCAATGCAAGTCAAGGTATCTTTATAATGTTTTCGTTTGTGGTAAATAGGCGAGTGTACAATTTACTAAGAGAAAAAAGTTTTGGGATTGGATGTGTGTCATCAAGTAGTGGCCAAACGACAACGCGCACAATGTAGATGAACATCCAGGAAACATGATTTGAAACGAGAACTACAGGATGCTCCAGAGATACCCGGCATTAAGCCATACATTTAATGATTTTTAACTTAAGTTCATATTACAAACACTGTCTTAATGCGATATATATCCTCGATAAAAAAGGCAGTTAAACAAATTATGACCAACATATGCATATCTAAGCAAACATAATATTGCGCATTCGTCGCAGTCTATACGCTGAGACAATGTCATTAGTATTGACGTCACAATAACCTTTGCCTTGGGTGAATAATTATGTTTTTGTTGGAAAATTTTAGATGTCGCTTTCCGTAAGTGTGCAAAAGGTGTGCTAAGTTACGACAGTGCTAGCAACTTAAACATATGACTCTGTCGTTTAATTGTGTGGAAAATCGAAAATCATACGACATTAAAGGCGAAGGCATAAACCATTTTAAATTTTTATATCATTTTTTTAATTAAAAAAAAACAAATAAAAAAAAAAAAACAAAAAAAAAAAACAACCTTTTATTGATAACACTATTTGTCACTTTGTGTTGTTATTTACTCTTTTGATTTTGTATTAGTGGATATATGTTGTAGATATATTTTATGATGATGAAATACTTGTGTTTAAGACAAATGGTTAAATAAAACTATGGTTTAGTTAACATTAACTTTTTACTATCGTTGCCGAATCGTCGACATAGATAAGCAGCATCATTTGCTTAATTGTTAAATCAAATAAATGTAGTAGACCTATGGCGAGAAATTAAAGAAACAATTACAATTTGATTAAATGTTAAAACTTTTCTGACCAATATTTTTTACTAGAGAAAGCATGTGTCACGTAACATTCATTTTAAAATTGTGAAGTAACTGTTTCATATGTTTTTATTACTATTTATTGGTGCTATTGTTTAATCAATAAAAGAGTTAAATTTCCCAGTAGTTAGTTATGTATGGAAGTTGTAATATAGTTTACACATATATCATTTATAGTGTATCCCTCATTAAACATATACTACATTACTGTCCCTAAAATGTTATGGAATAATTGATATCAATTGATGGTATTTTATAAAATCATTTTTAGAATTTGCTTTGCCATTTAAAAGTTTAGTTTATTGAAAGATAGCACTATGCCTGTGTTTGGAATTAAATGATTATTAAAAAATTGTTATCTGCATTTGGACAGGGTTTACTTCTTTTGGAGCGTCCGCATAAATATCGCTTCAATAGAAGCAAAAACAATATTTGATTTACGGATAGAATAAGAATAAAGTTATTCAGTTAAATACTGTATTTCCTTGTCATTTTTGAAAAGAAGTTCGTTCGTAACATTGAAAAATTAGGACAAATAACAACAAAAAAATTCTTATAATCTACAGCGGTAGTTCATTAGTTTTAACAATATACAAACCATTCACAAGATTTCTAAATGAACGAATTGTAAAATGGTCAGACTATATTGACCGTATTGTAGAGGAGCGAAACATGTCTCGAAAAAAGCGCAGCACTGTTGATCATTTGTCAAGCCTCATTAGCTTAATTGATACGAAAAGTCAACATTCTGTGCTTTTATTGACTTTCGCATTTTATTCCATTAATAGACGTTTACTTTGGCACAAAATGGCCACTTTTGCCATATCCTCCTGTATGCCCTCCGCTATGCTCCATTCGGAGCTCATTGAATACATTGACACTACTTCAGAAGTGAGCGATAGTGAAACATTCACGGTCAGCATTGAGCTACGTCAAGTATGCTTCTTATCTACGATTTTATTTAATGTTTACATAAATGATCAAGCAGTTTCTCTTAAAAGTATGAATAAAGGTATTGATATAAGAAATGAGAAAAGATGTGTTTTACTTTACGCATATTGTTATTATTGCTGAAAATGAAACTGATTTAGAAGAAATGTTAATTCATCTAAATGATTGGTACCTTTTAATCGGAATGTTAGTAAATGCCAGTAAAAGTAATATTGTGCACTTTAGACCACAGACTGTGTCTAGATCACAATATAATTTTTAAAAATGATCAGCAACTGAATATTCTTGCAAGTACATGTATCTTGGTATCATATTAGATGAATTCTTAGATTATAATTTTACAACTAAATATGTTGCTCAAAGAGCTGGTTGTGCCCTGGGACTTCCCATTGTTAAATTTAAAAAAAGCCGGCGATCTTCATTACGAGGTATATACTAACCTTTATAATGCTTGTGTAATTCTTGTTATATCATATGGCGCAGCTAATGGGGAAATAGTTAATTCGGTTCATCATAGAGCAATGAGGGTTTACCTCGGCACGGGCAAGTACAATCCTAATGTTGCTGTAAACGGTGAAATGGCTTGGAATGCCATCATTATTGAAAGTTATTTGTAATCATTGGAGTCGTTGTTTTAAATTATGATAATTATGAAGTAAATAAATCTATATTTGTATGGACTTTTGATAAAGGAAATAATAGATGTAAAAATTGGTCTTTTATTGTCAGAGATAAGATGCATTGACAAGGACTAAACATGTACACTCATTTGCCGTTCTCACCCAAGAAATTGTTAGAACAAGTTTAAAACATCACACAGCTCATTGGTATAAAGAGTTGCAGAGAGTCACTGATTTGAAGGGAAATGGCCGAAATAAGCTTAGGACATACATAATTTTCAAAGATTCCTACGCTGTTGAACACTATTGTTATATTGATTTACCATTGCTTCATAGATCTGCCTTCTCTAAATTTAGGTGCGGTATGGCACCAATAAGGTTAGAGACAGGTCGATATGAAAATCTTCCAGAAATCCAAAGAATCGGTCAGTTGTGTGATAATTGCATTGAGTCAGAGCTCCATGTTAAAACACCCAATGTATGTTAGGGAGAGACAAATATTGTTCCATAAAGCCTGTAATGTATAACTTTAATTAAAATGTGTTAAATGATTCAGAAAAAAATAAAATTTCTGTTATCGTAATTTCTGTTCTCCAACCCTATGGTTAGATCAACTGCAAAAAATTATTATAATATGCCGAAAACTAGAAAAAATGCTTTATAGAGCATGACTTTAACTATTGCGTAATGTTTTAATTTATGTATATACATTATATTCTAAATGTTATCATTGTCACAATTCGATTATATGCAGTTTTTAGCTATTTTATGCTGAATTCTTATTCATCGCTAAGGTTTTACATTGTGTTAGAAATTTCGTGGTAATTTGTTTGCTACTAAAGTAATAAGGTAATTTTTGAAATCTCATTTCAGCAATGTAATGCAATAAAGTGGCATGATTTCAAGAGTTGATATACAAAATTAATGTGTTAAAGTCCGTAAATAATACTTAGAAGTCTCTTGCAATTTTATATATTTTAGAACGGTTATGGGCAATGTATATGTACAAAAGATTTTTATGTATTGATGTTATGAACTGTACAATGATGAGACTTAAATAAAAGATTAAATCATCTATTTTGTTTAAACGATCTTTTGTTGTGCTAAATATATATTATAAACGGTTTGTATATTTGGCATTTTAACTGCTTTATTCTTCATACACTGATTTTGCCAGGCCTTCGACTTCAATTCGTCACCTCTATTCTCGATGCAAGTACTCATACTGGGTTTTTACACGCTTGCCAAATGGAATCACTAAACTACTAAACCTCCTGACATTAAACGCGATAACGAACATAATCCATTTGTACTTATAGACAAACGCAGGATTTGACACTGATAACAATACTTATATTATAACTGGGGAAAATATTAGAATTTACACTCTTAATGTCCCAATTTTCTTTTTGCATCATGTTCAAGTAACGTTGGTTATACTATATTTGATTTCTACAACCTAACAAGTGATACAATAAATGTATTGAAAACTATATTGGTCATAAAACTATCTGTCCATGAATTGTGTCATTGACAGGTTATCTTTAATAAACAAAATGATAGTCTCTATCTCATAAAATGGGTCTAATTTCATGAAATCCTTAACATCAATCGGGTTTTAATCCATGCAAGTATGTATATACAAATATTAAAATAATTTAACCTTTTCCCTCATATAGACGTGTTTTGACGGCTTTTTGTCCCCCCTTTTTGAGGCCTCAAATAGTGAAAAAATGCCCTATTTAGGCCCCATGGCAAACACTGTTTCTCGTTTTAGAAATGTTCTTAAAAAGTGACCACTTTTTCGGTGGCAGCCCCCAACCAAATGTTATATCAGGGGGTTGCCAGAAGGGGGATATGCCTTCTGTTGGGGGGTTAGAAGGGGGCGTTAGTCCCCCTCGTCGCCAAGAAAATTTTGGACATGTGAGAGGCTAAAAATTATGGAGGGCGATCGTTGCCAAAATTCCAGACATGTAATGTGTTCCTTTTGAAAACTTTCGAAAATGCGAACATGTATGTCTTTATTGCATTCGTGCACAGCAAATGATATGCCTCTAATCCAATCTTTTAATTGAAGGCACCCGCTTTTAAATAACACGTTTACATGTAAATCTTAACAACTGACCTAACATGGAGAACAACAACACATTTACAAGTTCGTATCTACCATTGCATATAATACATAAGCATGTTTACACACTTGTAGATATATATCTGTACCTGAAAAACACAAATGAAATGTAAAACTCGAATGCAGAAAATATAATTTAATAAAACGTGTTCCAATCGTAGAACTACAACAGTACGTTTACACAGTTACATGTTTAAAATGACAAAAGTAGAATCTCAAAGTTAGACGATTCTAAGTCATGCATGACGCCCCGCCTCTCTCTGAGTATTTGCGATCTTCTATCACGGAAATGTTCGGACAGGTATAATCCCCGTCGCCTCATTCCTATTTCTCAATAAAGTGAAGGAAACACGGCGTCCATTCTAACTTTTTTTTATTTCTATAAAAAGTCCAATATTATTGGTATCAAATGAAAGATTACTCCATAAGCTTTCTATGAGTGCCTCGGAAATAAAAATGAATTAAATAGATGTATGGAATTATTAGTGTTTTTTTTTACTCTGAAAATAACACTCTCGAATTGGTAAGAAAAACACGGCGTTCCCTCCAAAATTTTTTTAAGTTCGTAATATATTTTGATAATTTTGGATTGAAATAAAAGTGTGCTTCATACGATTTATGATATATAATTATATAATGCCTAAAAATAAAAATGAATTAAATCAAACTGAATTAACTTTCGTTAAAAAGTTTATCATATTACTTTTTGTAAAATAGAGAAAATAAGAATCCCTAAAGAACGCTCAAAACGACAAAATTGAGAATGTTGCAGGCCCGGTTTGATTGAGCCTGCTCATGGACGGTAATGGAAAGAGCAAGTTATCGTCCACGCCCCCTAGCACCGGCTTAAGCAAAATTCAACATGAACTGGTACAATTTTGAAACATCCGCAGATGTGTTAATGTGGCGATTATCATGGAACCTTCAATGTGACACGTAAGTGCCATACCAT